GGTGGTTAGTCTAAATAGAATCGACATAACAGCTCCATTGCAAATTATTAATGGCACAGGTCACGTGCTATATGACTTTACCCTTCATGCATGAGGCACCCTAAGGTGGAAAATAGGTGTGTGTGTATAAAACCAATTTATTTAAGTTAACTTATATAAATTACCCTTTATTACTTTTTTTTTCTATAAAACGCATAATTCTTTCAGAGTAGTGCGCAATTGCAAAAACTTATTGAACGACCAGCAATTTAATAAACCATAACTCCTATGACAACATACAAATGACACTACAAACCAGTAAAAGTCTGAAATGGCCTATATCTGTACTCGACTGTACTGATTTTTACTCGACCAGTCTGAATTGGTCTGAATTTTACTCGACATTACTCGACCCCAGTCTTAACCATACTCGACCGTACTGATTTGTACTTGACCCTTATCTTTGCCAAAATAGTCTGAACTATTACTCGACCAGTCTGAAACAGTCTTAACCCATTCTCGACCTGTACTCGACCAAATTTTTCAGTCTAAACCATACTCGACCAAAGGTCTGAACAATACTCGACCAGTCTGAACCATACTAGACCAAAAAACCTATACTTTTTTTAAATTTAGCTGTTAAAATTAATTTCTTTTTTTCTGACATGACAACAGCCACAATAAAATAAAGATGTATATAAAAACATATTTTTACATCCTTACATGATTCTCAGATTTATCTGAGACTTCTATAACATATGTGTTATAGTAGTCTCAGGATTTATCAAATAGAGATAGTTAAATTAAATTATCTTATATAATAATTTAATTATATTAATTTTAAAGTTTTAGAGTTTTGTTAAAAAAAAGATTTTCTTTTAACTAAAAACCACACCTTTACTGAGGGTAATAAAACCTTATTAAGGTGCTTCTTGTTTGGCATGTGTTTTTTTTTTAAACTTAATTTTCCTAAATTCCTTAACAAAAACTATATAGGTTTCATGGTTACATACAATAATTATATAATTATTTTTTTAATGAGGTAACAACAGCCAAAAAATCACTGAAATTGTTTAACCTTATATAAGAAATATATCTATTCTTATTATAATTTGGGATATATTATATATAATATATATCAAAAAGGGATAAGAAAATTAAAGAAATAGATAAAATTGTTCTTCTGATTAGTGGTAAAGTATAAAGTAATACCTCCTTCTTGGGACAAACTCATTAAAAAGATCACACCTGGTCAGAGAGTATTAATTTCTAATTAGCATTCATTAAAAATTGCAACATCCTGTAAAACTTAAATCGCAAGGCCTTTTGAATTCACTAGATAATTAATACACGAGTTTAAGAAAAAAAGGGCTTTCTTTTTACATGTAAAACACACATGTACTGAGGTAATTAAACCTATTTAAAGTGCTTCTTGTATGCCATGTCTTTAATTTTGACAAAAGTTATTTAAATTTAATTGAAATAAATTTTTTCTGCAACTTTGGAACACATTTCCTTTTTTAAATGGTTATCTAGGATTGCTATGGAAGTTCTATTATCATGATTATATTAAATTCTTGGTTTTACAAAACAAAGGTGTGATTTTTAAAATTTATTAAGTTGCTTTATATACTATTTTAAATATATTTTAATAAAAAAAAATGTTCACTGCATTATTAATTAAACTCAACTGACACCATAAATCTATACAAGGCTTAATGGTGAAAATTGTCCAGTAACCATAAAATATATCTGAAACATTCAAAAAAATTTGAATAACATTGAAAATATTAGTCACAATTCAGTTTTGAGATTATTTGATCAGCTTGTTTTACTTTTATTTTAAAGGTGATATATGTATGTAAGTGTTGATAAATATGGTGTTGAATTTATATTATGTTTATTGTGATATTTTGGTTTCAATGCCATATTGAATACATTTTAAATTTCAAATTGTTGTTCAAATTTCCAGCCAGGGGAAATAGCTGTTAAAACAGTTCCTAAATTGATAAAATACAATAGATAGATACAAAAATTAGGTCTAGGTTGGTTAAGACTTAGTCGAGTATGGTTCAGACTAGGTCGAGTATGGTTCAGACTAGGTCGAGTATGGTTCAGACTAGGTCGAGTATGGTTCAGATCAGGTCGAGCATGGTTCAGACTAGGTCGAGCATGGTTCAGACGAAAATAAAATGGTTAAGTACTGGTCTAGTACAAGTTCAGACTGTTAAGTATGGTTCAAACTACAGTCGAGTATCATCAAGTAAATTTCAGACCAATTCAGACTGGTCGAGTAAAAATCAGTACAGTCGAGTACAAATATAGGCCATTTCAGACTTTTACTGGTTTGTAGTGTGAGTATCAGACAAATTTTGCTGTTATAATAAAATTACCAAGATTCCTGGTCGAACAACAGCTACCTTGAAAAGCTGACTTTACACAGTAATAGAATATTATGAAAAGGAATGTCAATAAAGCCAGGCCAAAGATGACTGTTGGTACTATGATTGCCTGAATTGGTGACATGCAATGCCAAAATCATTAATATCTGAAACAAAAAATATACAAATAAGGAACGATTTTATAACTATAGATATTTAAAAAAAAAACTCATTAAAATTAACAGGCTTATATATTTGTACGCCAGACGCGCCTTTTGTCTACACAAGACTCATCAGTGACGCTCAAATAAAAACCATTATAAAGTTTGAATCAAGTACGAAGTTATAGAGCATCAAAGAATTCAAAGAAAGTTCTCGTTCGATAAACAATCGCTTTTGAATATTGTTTGCCTACGTGTGTTGTCCCCTTCTGTTTCACGTCAACGCATGAAAGAATCAAATACACATAAATGCACTAGTTAATTAAAGGTAAGTGATCTCAAAGCGTAATGGTAGCGTAGGAAATAAAACAAAAACTTGAAAATAACCGCGAAATTTGGAATTGGATTATTTTGTCTGATTCAAATATTCGAAAAAGGGACTTAAAAAAATAATTAGTTGGGTTCAATAATAAGGATGTCAATTCCTTTGTATTTCGTTCTTCGTAGAGTAAACATTTGTTTCTGTCCTAACGCCTTGCTTTTCCTTTGAGTATCTTTTGAAATTTTGTTGTTAAGGGATTTTTGTCCATTATGGGGCTTTGAATTGTAAAAGAAACTAGGTTTGAAATGATAAATTCTTCTACATTCAATGGCATACGCGATTAATAAGTTAATCCGTTGGACACTATATACTGGGTTTTTTTTATATATTCTTTTGTATGTTATTATGAAGTCAGTTTAGGTTTTAGGTCTGGTACTGTCCGGACCTTGCTAATAAAGTTTAAAGTAATGGTATTCCGTCTTTGAATTGTTATAGCCGGAAATATTTAAATTGAGGTGAGATTATTACAACTGTTAATCTTCTCCTTGAAAAAATCTATTCCATTGCCCAAATTGCGTCCCTTCCCCTATACAGTTTATGACCTTAATCAGGAAAGATCCTTTCACTTCATAAAATTTAATAACACTTTGACATCGGTTTTTTATGGTGTTTGTATTGCTCAGTCGTTTGTTTTTTATGTATTGTTTTGTAAACTTGTTTGTCTTTCGAATTCTCCATGGCGTTGTTCCTTCGACTTATGAGTTTTGAATGTCCCCGTGGTAATTTCGGCTCTTTTTGATTTTAGTTTTTAATATATAAAACATTTCTAAATATGTATTGCTATTCAAATATTAACACTGACAGCTCTACATCCTGTTAATACTTATATTTTGGCATGGACGATGTCATACTTTTCTCAGGCAGTTAATGACGTCTTTACACTCAATCGTTATATTTACATTGATTGATATTTCAGTCTTTGAGAAATTTGTGGATTTTTGTTGAAATTGGCTTTGAATAGCTTTTAGTAGCTGCTAGTACTCTTTGATCGGTACTTTTGTGTTTGGTTTTGTTTTTTGTCTTTGCTGTTACAGCCCTGGCCAAGAATAGGTGAGGGTTCAGCGTTCACAAACATGTTTTACTCCGCAATATTCTTTATGTGACTGTACAATGTACCAAGTCAGGTACCTGTTATTCAGTGGTTGTCTTCAGTTGCTGTTTGCCGTATTTGTTTTTAGCATAAATCATGCCATTAGTTTTCTCTTTTGAAATGTTTCACATTTTGTCATTCCGGGACCTTTTATAGCTTACTATACTATACTATCTAATTGACAATCATATCTCCTTATAAAAATTATTTTTGCACTGTTGTGGTGCATTGATATTTAGAAAAATATAGAAACGCTTTTATCAATATCTTTTATATAATGTGCATAAAGCTACATATGCCGTAGAACAGTGTAGAAAGAATGAAATACGGACACCCATCTCTTTTGAGTGAACAAAATCGAGGAACAGCACATAACTCTTTTGCAATTCTATTATTTTACAAGAAGCGTTTTAATGCTCTTCCAATTAAAGAGTTCCATAGAGGGAAGATCTTACGGCAACTCTTGGTCTACATAATTTCAAGGCGACAGTTTGATTGTTAAATGCGGACTATAAATAAGTAGGGGACCTATATGCATTACAAAAGGTCCAACACATACCCTTTCTCAGTGGACACTATTGAAGTCCCCAGTTCCTGGCAATGTGTTTACTATTTAGACAGTTTCACTTGCACCCTTCAAAATTCAGTATACCATATCATATGGAATTGATGTGAACAAGTTAACATCGAAGAAACATACTATCTATTGTCTAACCTAAGGCAATCGCATTGCAGAGCCTTTATATTCTGTTCAAGAAACGTAAAAGACTATTTGTTACGTTGGAGATCAGTTCTATCAGCCCTGACACAATGTTCGTTCTTGTGTAGATATAAATTCACCAAAGATACAAATTGATACGCCATACACGCGTTTCGTCTACGAAAGACTCATCAGTGACGCCAGAATCAAGACAGTTGAAAGGTCAAATCAAATTTTTAAAACGAAAATTCAGAAAACTTATCATAACACGGCTTAGGCAATCTATGCCTTTGGGTAAAATAAAATTTTTTTTTTATAAACAGTCACTTTTTAAAAAGATCATGTCAATGATAATTCAATCAAAACAAATGGAAGGCTTAATCAAATAAGAAGTTAAAGAACATTTAAACCGACCAATACGGCTAAGGTAATACACCTTATCGCTATTTGTTCGCCATTACTTGTGACCAATACGGCTAAGGTAATACACCTTATCGCTATTTGTTCGCCATTACTTGTGACCAATACGGCTAAGGTAATACACCTTATCGCTATTTGTTCGCTATTACTTGTGACCAATACGTCTAAGGTAATACACCTTATCGCTATTTGTTCGCCATTACTTGTGACCAATACGGCTAAGGTAATACACCTTATCGCTATTTGTTTGCCATTACTTGTGACCAATATGTCTAAGGTAATAAATACAGCTTATCGCTATTTGTTCGCCATTACTTGTGACCAATACGGCTAATGTAATACACCTTATCGCTATTTGTTCGCCACGTCTTGTGACCAATACGGCTAAGGTAATACACCTTATCGCTATTTGTTCGCCATTACTTGTGACCAATACGGCTAATGTAATACACCATATCACTATTTGTTCGCCATTACTTGTGACCAATACGGCTAAGGTAATACAAAATTTTTTATAAACAGTCACTTTTTAAAAAGATCATATCAATGATAATTCAATCAAAACAAATGGAAGGCTTAATCAAATAAGAAGTTAAAGAACATTTAAACCGACCAATACGGATAAGGTAATACACCTTATCGCTATTTGTTCGCCATTACTTGTGACCAATACGGCTAAGGTAATACACCTTATCGCTATTTGTTCGCCATTACTTGTGACCAATACGGCTAAGGTAATACACCTTATCGCTATTTGTTCGCCATTACTTGTGACCAATATGTCTAAGGTAATACACCTTATCGCCATTTGTTCGCCATTACTTGTGACCAATACGGCTAAGGTAATACACCTTATCGCTATTTGTTCGCCATTACTTGTGACCAATACGGCTAAGGTAATACACTTGTGACCAATACGGCTAAGGTAATACACCTTATCGCTATTTGTTCGCCATTACTTGTGACCAATACGGCTAAGGTAATACACCTTATCGCTATTTGTTCGCCATTACTGGAAATCATAAAGGATTCCTTAAAATTTTATCGTCACAATAGAAAATGTCTGACGCCATAAAGAAAAGTGATTGTTGTATGACGTCAATAGTTCAAGTGTCGCACATTCTCGGTTTAAGTGTCTCAGCTGCAAAATATCGATAAGATTTATCTATACCCGGGAAGGGAGGGGGGGGGGGGGGTAAAAAACGTTAGTTTTCAAATTAAGGAAAATTTAAGGAATTGTGGTTCCAACTTACTCAGGCAAAGTTGACCTTGGATATATAGGGCAATACATTTTAGGTTCGTTTTGTTCATACGGCTCCTTACTTTTTTACCTTTTCATACATCCCTGGCTAATTCGCATCGGGCGTATTATGCTTTGTATAATGTGATAGTTTAACAAAAAGTAAAATAACAAAAATACCAAACTCCGAGGAAAATTCTAAACGGAAACATCAAACGAATGGATAACAACTGTCATATTCCTGACTTGGTACAGGCATTTTCTTATGTAGAAAATGGTGGATTAAACATGGTTTTATAGCTAGATAAACCTCTCTATTGTATGACAGTCGCATAAAATTCCATTATATTGACAACGATGTTTGAACAAAAAAAACCAGACATAATAGGTAAAAATGTTAAAAATAGGGGTACAGCAGTCATCATTGTGTTATAATCTTCACGGGTAGTAAGGTCGTCATATCGAGGAGCGATTAGTACAGTGATTTTGTCATAGTTTTGTTAAGTTGGACATGATTGTGTTAAGTGTTTTAATGACAAACAATGACACAATATAAACATTCGGACTTTTTGCTAAAGGAACTTCTGAACGCAAATTCAAGCTGGTAAGTATCTTTGTTTATGTCTAACATGTTCGTACATTAAAATTTGTGTCATATAGTTGATAATTTGACAATGAATAATGCTTGCGTATGTCAAAATTCAAAAGTTGTTATTCGTTTCTTGAGCATAAAGAAAAGTGATTTGTTTACTGTCTGTTAAATCACATATTTCGTTATGAAATAAACCTGCCGTCAATTATTCCGAAAAATAGCTACATTTGCACACAATTTTAAGATTACTGAAAATTCGGTGTCATGATTTGGTTCAGTAGTGTCATGGTTAAGTTCATGTTCGCTATGGTTAAGTTATGTGATTCCTGTCGTATATGATGGAAGAGTAACGATCAGAATAAAGACATTATACAACTATTGAAATACTGTTAAAAAATATTTTTTTTGCGTTTAACCCATGCTTTCTATTTTGAGGCAATATATTGTCGGCATATTCTAATGTTATTTTGTTACCATTTCACATATAAACGTTGATCTTCCACTCGCGAAAATACATTTCTCTAGAAAATAAGTCGTCTACAGTAAGTTTAAGATATTATCATTATAGTTATCGTTATAGAACACGCATGTATAAAGAACTCACTAGGATAATATATTAATGCATTTCAATAGCAATTTTCTGTAAAAGCAGTCTAATTTGGAATACAAAAGGACATAAGAAAGCACATAGTAATATATAATATATAGATGCGGTATGATTTCCAATTAGACAACTATCCACCAGAGACCAAATGAAGTACATGTTAGGTCGCCGTACGGCCTTCAACTATTTACAAAACCCAAACCTCTTAGTAAGCAATAAAAGGCTCCGACAAAATTAAATGTAAAGCAAACCGGCAACATACGACGGGATAAGTTCATGGATAGACTACAAGTCTCATTTTGATATGGTTGCATTAGTTAACAATTGGACTGAAAACCAGAAGGGTCTTTATCTAGCAGTTTCACTTCGAGGCCAAGCGCAAGCAGTGTTAGGCGATCTACCAACAGATGTGCGAAGTAATTTTGTGACACTTGTTAATGCACTTGAGGAACGTTTTGCCCCGACCAGTCAAACAGAGTTGTACAGAGTTCAATTTCGTGAACGGAAACAAAAGGCATCTGAAACTTTGCCTGAAATGGGACAAGCAGTAAGGAGACTTTCTAACCTTGCATATCCAACAGCTCCGCGTGAAGTGCGCGAAACATTAGCAAAAGATCAATTTATTGACGGATTGTTTGATTCAGAAATGCGATTAAAAATAAAGCAATCACGGCCCATTAATTTAGATGAAGCTATTCGCTTAGCAGTAGAATTAGAAGCCTTTAATCAGGCTGAAAGTAGTAATAGGGGGAATCGTGGGCATTTGCGGTCCACAAATCAAAGTGAAAACATTGACACTACTGATATTAATTCTCGTGCAGACACGTGTGCTATGGAAAAAATAGAGATGTCAATGAAAACAATGGAGGGAATGATAAAAGACTTGCAAAGTGAATTAGAAAAAATGAAAAGTTCTGGGAACAATTTTGACAATAAGAGATGGGCAACAAACAATAAGCGAAATAAAGAGTGTTTTAATTGTGGTAAACTAGGACACTTTCGAGCGGAATGTAGAAATCCGTCACGAAGGGATACAACAAGAAGATTACTTACAAACAGAAGTCAAAATCATAATGCTAAATCAAGGGTCTCAATCATTGAAGACGCCGGTATGTATGTTGATACAATTCTAAACAAACGATCTTGTAAGTTTCTTGTTGATACAGGAGCAACGTTATCTATTGTATCCTTTAAACTTTATGAAAGTTTGCCAAAACATTGTAAGGTTGAACTCTATAAAACATCCCAAAACATAACATCAGCCAATGGTGGACTTTTGACATTGTACGGTAAAGGATATTTTAGTATTCAAATTGGAAAGGAGTCATTCAAGTTGGAAGCACTTGTAGCGGATATTAAAGCCGAAGGAATACTTGGACTAGATTTTCTTAAGGCAAACAAATGCGTATTGGATGTTGTATCTGAAAAGCTTTTTCTCGGAGAATCTGAGATACAATTAATATTTGAGGGACCCTTAGGATGCTATCGGGTTGTGTCATCAGAAACAGTAAGTATTCCTCCATCCTCAGAAGTTGTTGTAAACGGAAAGGTATGTTTTCCTGGTGGATATAATCTGAATAGCTTTGAGGGTGTTATTGAACCATCGGAAAACAATGCGAAAAACGATGGACCCTTGATAGCAAGAACTTTAGTAAAAGTTAATGAATGTGTTCCTGTTAGGTTACTGAATATGAAGCAAGATTCGCATGTTGTGTACCAGGGTTCAACAATTGGACAAGTACATAAGATTGAATCTGTTTGTGAGGACACACATACGGATTTGAAAAACAAGCAATAATTTGAGCTTCGCTCGGATCTGAAGGCTTTATATGAAAATTTAGACGAACAACAAAGTAATCAGTTAAAAGTACTTATAAGCAAATATGAAGGGTTATTTGCTGAATCGGATAAGGAATTAGGCCACACTAATCTTGTGAAACATAGAATCAATACTGGGAATGCACAACCAGTCAAAGAACCTCCTAGGCGCGCTCCAGTTCATTTACGACAAGAAGTAGATAAGAACATTGACGATATGCTAGAAAAAGGAGTCATTGAACCATCTAATAGTCCTTGGGCATCAGGTGTTGTATTAGTGAAGAAAAAGGACGGATCTTATCGCTTCTGTGTTGATTATCGAAGATTGAATAAGGTAACGGTAAAAGATGCATATCCTCTCCCTCGTATTGACGATTCCCTGGAACAATTTGCTGGCAGTGCCTGGTTCTCAACGCTGGACTTATGTTCAGGCTACTGGCAAGTGGAAATGCATCCTGATGATAGTTACAAAACAGCTTTCGCTACAAGACGAGGCTTGTTCCAATTCAGAGTTATGCCGTTTGGTCTATGCTGTGCACCCAGTACATTTGAAAGATTGATGGAAACAGTTCTTGCTGGGTTGCAATGGGACATTTGTTTAGTTTACTTAGACGATGGTATCGTAGCTGGAAAAACATTTAGTGACATGTTAGTTAATCTTGATCGAGTATTTGAAAGGCTAGGTTCAGCTGGTCTTAAGCTTAAAGCAAAGAAATGTTCTTTGTGTGCAAAAGAGGTATTATTTTTGGGACATGTCATCTCAGAAAAGGGGATTGCCACGGATCCCTCAAAAATTGAAGTCGTGAAAAACTGGCCAACCCCAAGCAATGTGACTGAAATACGTTCGTTTTTGGGACTATGCAGTTATTACAGACGGTATATACAAAACTTTGCAAGTATAGCCAGGTGCTTACACGTCCTTACAGAAAATGGAAAACCCTATATATGGAGTGTTAAATGCCAGGAATCGTTTGAAATTTTGAAAAACCACCTGATAAAAGCCCCGATTCTGGCACATCCAGATTTCACAAAGGGTTTCATTTTAGATACAGACGCAAGTAATGAATCAATTGGTGCCGTTTTATCACAACTTAATGATCAAGGATCTGAAGTTGTAATAGGTTATGCTAGCCGAACATTAAGCAAGGCTGAAAGGCGTTACTGTGTAACAAGAAAAGAACTCCTAGCAGTTGTTAACTTTGTAAAACATTATAAACACTATCTTTACGGTAGGCGATTCGTAGTAAGGACAGACCATGGCTCATTACGCTGGCTTATGCAGTTTAAAAATCCAGAGGGCCAATTAGCTCGCTGGTTAGAAGTCCTTAGTGAGTATGAAATACAAATAGTACATCGTCCAGGTGTGCAACATCGAAATGCCGATGCTCTAAGTCGTGTACCCTGTAAACAGTGTGGTTATTTTTCCAACTGGGACGAAACACAGGAGAAAAATGAAGCCAGTGTTTGCGTTTTAACGGACACCTCAGACGAATATAAGGATGATCAATCACATCTCAAAGAATTACAAAACAATGACAAAGATCTCCTTTACATAAAGAATTGTTTACGAAATCAAAAACGTCCAATGTTTAGTGAAGTATCAGGTAAGGGTTTTGTTGTTCGAAGCTTGTGGTCTCAGTGGGAGA